CACATTGCTTCATAGCATTTTCAAAAGGATGTATTTTGACATGCACACCAGGCACTGATTGATTGATTGATGTGAATGATCTTGGTGCCATATCCCATTTCTTAAATAAAAAAAAAAAAAGCTCAGCTTTATTCACAAATACAATGGAAGCATAGTTGTATAAAAACTTTCAGCGATGCATATGGGAAATGAATGGGACTTCTGACAGGAAAGTCTTTTGAATTCTTCTGTTATTTGCTCTGTTTTGACTTTGATCTAATATCCGCTGCCAGTTATAAATGCTTATAAGCAGGGGTGGGCTTCAAAAAGTTTAGCAAGGGGTTCTCTGTCTGGGTGATGTGTGGGCGTAGTCATGGTGGGCGTGGCCTAGTCAGCCTCCTGCACCACCACCTCGGGCTCTGGAGATTTTCCTCGAGCCTCCACGGGGGTGAAAACGGCTTCCCCAGGCTCTGGAGGCCCTCTGGAGGCCAGAAATGGGTGCATTTCTGGGCTTCTCAAACTTCTGGTAGGCCCATTTTTTGCCCTCCCCGTGCCTCTGTGCGTGCCCTGCACTTACATGCATCCCAAACAGGCCACATGGGGACTCCTGGGAGGGGCGGGGAGGAGTGGGTGGGTCCAGTCAGGAGTGGGATTTGAGGGTTCTCTGAACTGCATAGAATCTAAGCTGGAGGTTCTCCCGAACCCCTGCGAACCCGCAGCAGCCCACCCCTGCTTATAAGAAAATCTTGAAGCCAGAAAGAGTATTTGATTCAGAAAAGCAAGAAGAATTTGTTTTATTTTTTTAGATAAATAGAGCACAGAATTCATTATTGAAGGAACTAAGCCACATTCTCAAGCAAAGAGTAGCATTTGCATTCCTCATCTCAACATGTAATACAAGATTATGACAATTTTGGCTGGTTCAGACTGTGGCAGAACCCTTTCTTTTGAATGCAGGCCAGCTCTAACTTCCATGTGACAGAAAAGGGGAAAGGGACACATTTTTATGAGCAGAATGCATGTAAACTCTTCAACCCATCCCCAAAATAAATGAATTCTGCACCGTGATTTAATCAATGCATCTATGTGTTAATGCATATTACTAACTAATATGGGAAAGGATTGGAAATGGCCTATGCAGGGGCTACAAAAGCAGTTTGTAAATGGACAAGGAAAAAGGGGTTGCAAATGGAATTCACACCTGTATGTCTGTAGAAACAAGAACAGACCATTCTTTCCCCAGAATAAAAATACTTTTAAAAGATATTGTTCCATCAGAGTAGCCATTCATAGAACCCAGCCTAGATCCTTAAAACCAACACTGTCACCTAAACCTAAAAAGATGGAACCATTCCTCCAACAGGCTGCACACAAATAATCTTTGCACCGTTCATTTTCACAACCACCCACATACTGTTTGCTTTCCCTTGAGTTCTTAATAGAATTCTGGCTCTGATTTTAGCATAGTATCCAGGCGCATTTCTGCAGCCACTAAAAACCCCATAGGATTGCTGCAGTGAAACCTTGCAAAATGTCCCATAAATGATTGCGCATAAACTTGCTTTTAAGCATAAGAAAGCTAAATAAATATGGGCTAAGCCTCTGCTAGGTTTAAAACAAAGGCTTTTTCATG